TCCACACAGGGAAAAAACGATACAGCTGCAGTGTTTGTGGCAAAGGATTCACTTGGCCTTTTCAGCTCAAAAACCATCGGTGTGGTGGTCGAAAAAGTGTAACTTTACAAATAAAGACAAAAACTGAGGGAGAGGACTGTGGAGGACCAGAACCAGCCAGGAACTCAGATTCAGAAAAACATTTACAACCAGATACTCATGACAAGACTTCAGACTCCTCTGAATCTGAGACTGATGACAGTTGTAATTGGAAGTAGGGCTGCAACCAATAATTGTTTTTGTTGTTTTTGTCACCCCTAAACCTAATGAATCCATTTTAACAAATGAAATATCTTTCAAGTAAATTACTGATCTCCAACACACAGCCTAACTAACGTTACCGTGAAGTGAACAAGGTTTACTATTCAGAATGAACACTAGGGGGAACATATGGAAGAAGAGAAGACAGGGTAGGATATTCCCATAATTCACTAAAAGAGCGTTCTCTTAGCCAGCATCATCACTGAGACCCCAAAACCAAAAATGCGAAGAACTAGGGAGAGGCTGCTCCAAGATAACAGCCAGGTTTTATCACCCAAAACAATGAGCTCACAATCTGATTTATTGCCAAGTAGGTTTAACTTTAAAACTTTTAACTAAAATAAAAGCAAGTACTATAACCACAGCTGTACACTAACAATGAGATGTCTATTTAGAATAACAAAGCAACAGACACCTTTGATAATACTTGGTAGTTTATTTGTCCAAAGTGCTTAAACATTTTGTTCTATAGGCTACATTTGCGCACATTTTCAATTCACCATCAACCTTCGTAAGACTGCCAATATTCAAGTTCTACACTAATGTCAACTAACCTTTGCAGCCCTAATTTGGAGGAGATCAAGGAACCTCAGTCAGGTTCAAACCTTATGGAAAAACAATGAAGTGCCTGTAAGTGATATTGAATGTTAACTGGAAATCATTTGCTGCAAGCTTTAACCACAAGGGATATCTGCAGGAAGACAGTGGAAACCCAACCAGTCAATGTCCCCGAGCCAAAAAGTTTGCCCACCCCTGATTTTGGAGATAGCTGTTTAGCTACACTTTTTGTATTTGATCTTTTTTTTTGTATTTTTTGACAGAAAGAGAAGAAGTTTTTGTAACCAGTTAGCATAGCATGCTAAGTAGCTATTAGCTAAAACAGTCCCTGTAAGGCTCGTCTCTCGTATTTGATCTTTTGTTACAGTTATTGATTTAACTTTAATTGATTGATTGAGGTGTTTAAGTGTAGTTGAGTTCTTGCTATTATGTGAAATGAGGATTTCCTTTATGGGGAGTTGGAGCTTTGGTTAAACATTATGAGCATTTAGTTTGGTAGGCCTATTTCAGTTAAGTTTCAAATGAATGTGTTTAGTTTAGTAGCTATCTTTTATTATAGATACTGGTCATGTAATACCACACCTTTCGTTAGAGTTGCAGAAGAAAGTATGTGAATTACCTGGATATTGGTCATTGGTGACCAAGGGCCTGCACCACGAAGCCAGTTCAACATACCCAGGATATCTTTTTGTTATCTGGCTTCACTGACCCTGAAAATTACTATCGGGATACTGTTAAAAAGATGAATCAAATAGGATGATGTTGCTACAAAAGTTTCTCTGTATCGTCATTGTACTAACCACAAAGTTACCTGGATAAGCTGAAATGATACAGGCCCCTGATCTTCATCTACCTCATGACAATAGACAAACTATGTGGACATAAACATTAACGTTACCGTTAATCAGCATTTATGTTATGGCTACTTGACATTTGACAGCTAATATATTACATTGTCTGTCTTCAAAGACCCTGTCCTTCTACTGGGCTTTAAAACTAACTAACCCAACCCTATAATACCACCTTAATATTTTCATTTACAGCTGTTTCTGTATACACTAACATATGTTATATACACTGTATTCAATTAACATAAGACACTGATGAATGAAGAATGTGATTTCCAAAGGGTTCACATACTACACATGAGAATTGTTACCTGTACCCTCAGGTAAATAAAATCGCTTACCTCCCAAATTGAATGGACTTTGTGTTTGAATGGTATCTTGTGGTGGAGACTGACCAGGTCTTTGATAAGTAACTTCCTTTTAGAATCACACCAAGCTCAAATTTGATCTCTCACATTCTCTGAATTGTAGCTTCATATGAAAATTTCAGAACCATCTTGTCTTGGAGACTGCTGAAATATTTTTAAATCCATCACATTTACAAGTAAAATTCTACTTCCTGATGTTTTTCTGTACCATAACCCCCTGCGTATATCTCTCAGAAATGCCGGGGGGAGACACAGGCCCCCCCCCCCGACCCTGTTACTTCAGGAATGTCTCTGGTGATCCAGGTACCGGCAACGGATGGGACTTGAACCCGGAGACGCTGCACCACAGGCACAGACAATCTCACCTCGCCACCAAATACCCTTCACGATTGTTCCTTTTCTCCGGGTGCTTTTATTTCTTCACTTTGGAAGTTGCGCTTCAAAATTCACTTTGCCTTCGATAGGGATCGAACTCCCAACCTCAGGCCTTCAAAGCAGACCCCTAACTCACGCTTTTGCTTTCTGTCTTTGAGCTCTTGACTTTTTCTTTTGGGAGCTAGATGAGGATTAAACACACAACCTCTGATCCTCCAGGAAGTCCTACCAGCTTGAGCTTTAGGAGCACATAGACAAACTGTTTTTTGGTGCTTTTCACGCTTTCCTTTAAACATCAGCTTTCAAAATACATCAGCTGAGAACTGAACATTTACATTAAGAGTGTGTGAATGTTTTGACTCTCTGTTCACATGTGGACTGGCCAGACGTAATAAATCCCTAATAAATATTAAAAGACAATGTCTTGTTTTAATTGTTATTTGTTCAATTCTGCAACGTGAAACGTACAAAGGAGTGTAACTGAATATATAGAGACGGGTCTTTGGTAGCTGATATTCTACTTTGGTACAAAAGTCACATATAAAACAACATATGCATATTTATGTGTTAAATAAGAAAACCTAGTAATAAATAGGTACTTAAACGGATTCTCCATAACTAGTACAAGCCCTGTCATTGCTAAGGGGAAGAATCCTAAAGTCAGTAGTTTTAAAATGTACCGTTTTTAGATCTGTAACATTCACAATCAAATTCAACATTAGTCTGACAAACAGCACACACAGAAGTGATGCGTCAGTCCACTTTAGTTCAGCTTTGTAGTGTTGCAGTACTCGAGTCCGTTTCTTTTTGACGGTCTCGTCTCGGACTCGAACGCATTTGTACTCGGTCTTGAATGTGTGTGCAAACTCTTCCTCCATTGGCTGGCTGCTGAAGCCGCTGTCGACCGGAGCGTCTGACTGGACAGAAAAACAGGATTATGGTCAGTTTGGCTGCAGTTTGAATCGTCCACTGAGCATGTTTACAGGTACATAACTTTATTTTAATGGGTTGTGTTATAGTTTTATTTCTGACATTGAAGCCATGTTTCATGTACAGTTTTAGAGGCAAAAGGACACCACGCATGTGCAGTAAGAAAAGTTTAACAGCTGCTGAACAAAGACAAACTTGGAAGAACCAACCTGCTGATCGGCCTTCACATCTCACAGGCAGAATGCTGACGGTTTGTTTAGGAGAGGAGACGTTGCCACCGTCAGAACTTCAGCAGCACCTCAGTAAATGTAGAAAGGCTCAAAAGAAGTTGAACCTTAACCCTGCTTAAATACGAAAACCTGTTTCTTCCAACCATGTTACATTCATGTGAGTTTTAAATAAAGACACGGTCTCTGGTGGAGGCCTTACCTGGCTCAGTAGTGCTGAGGTGAGTCCTGCAGCATTACTGGACTAGAGATGTGTTACTAGTGGTGAACACAAAGAACTGAAGCTTTATTTACTGCTGTGTGTCACAGAATACACAAACCAGATTATTAAAGTATCAAAGGTCCCTTCCACACATGTTTTCAGCACTTGTTGTACTCAATACAAGTACTGTACTGAAGTACAAATTAGAGGTATTTGTAATTTACTTCAGTATTTTCTTTTCTACTCCAATACATTTGAATTTGTACTAAATTCATCTGACAGCTTAAATTACTTTACAAATTAAGATTTTTGCAGACTTAATCAAATGTTTTGTTATAAATTAAACTACCCAACAGTTTATACAGGTAGAGCTGAAAGATTAGCTGACTGAATTTTATTTTCAGTTATTCTAATGATCTTTTATTAAATCTGTCATGTAAAACACAACCATAGTACTTTTTACTTTTAATACTTAAGTATTAAGTACTTCAACCCAAGTACAAATTTAACTTGATTAAATGTATTAATATTTAGCAATATTTATTTATTTGTACTTTTAATCAAGTACAGAATTTGTGGTACAACTGGTTTCAAGGTGTAGAAAAATACATTGGGTATTTTGTGGCGGATGTTTTTCACTCATAAAAAAAGAAACTGAATATGTTTTACTACTTTTATTTTATTTATTGTTTGTTCTTGAATTTGTAGTTTTATTTATTTTGTGTATTTTATTTTGATTCTATTATATATTGTTGATTATTACATTTCTGGTTTGTAATAAATAAAGATGTGGTGCGCCGCCAGGGGAAGCTCGCCCAGAGCACCAAATGAGCATTAATCCGGTTGTTCATGAGGTTTAACCAGGATACGAGCCATGAAAGGACTTGAGGTGCTGAAGTATCTGCACATGTGAGACACGGTTTAAGGTCTCGGCTCTCACTTCCTTCACCTTCTCTTCGTCTCTGGACGGTTGTCTGGAGGAACGTGTGCGCGTGGCCGTCAGAGCTTACAGTGAAAACAAAGTGCACTTTGCGGAGTCCATCAATGACGTGGCGGAGGACGAGCTTCTGGTCCATCACAGCGTAGTAAGTGCTGAAGGCCGGCGGCCTCCCTCCTGGTCTTGTTCTTCTAGGCTCCTGCATCAGACTGTTATACAACATCAAGGAAAGGATCCCTACCAGGGACTCCCAGTGACCCCCTTTGTTTTTAACAGGAAACTGAATCTCGCTCTGAAATCTCAGAGAGGCGAGTTGTTGCAGGAAGACGACGGATTGTAGCGATAAATCGTATCTTCAACGTCATCACAATGAACACAAAAGACTGCCCGAAACTCGATGAATCTATTAGATCATATTTATCTGAATATGTTTGGAAGATACAATGAACAAAGGGGAATAAAGAGAAAGAGAAAAGTACTGCGACAGTTAATAAAAAAGCTCTCTTGATCTGGATTTTCAGTATAAATAGAGAATTGACAACAGGCTAATTATTATAATACCTAATATTTATTTTTGGTGAAAGGGAGGAACCTTTGATTTATAGAAAACTTGCGTGGAGGTTTGTGTCTGCATTGACACACGAGCTGCTTCAGTCAAACATGTTGTGTTATCGTCTGTGATAAGACTATCTGACGCAGAGTTTCTCCCTCTAAATGCCTGCATTACTACGATGTTACCCGACACCGCTTCAAGATGATATCGTTAGACGTTTGGAAGCGTTTGTTGTCTTTTCCCTGCTGACTGTATAATCAACATTTCCACCACAGGCTTCTTTTCTTTTACACCATTGAGTTTTTGCCCTTAAAGTCACATTTTATACGAGACGCTTATAAAATGCAGTTTATACAAGTACAGCTGAGTTGACGTGAAGATTTTAATGTCATTTTGGAGGTTTGGACTGTTTGTTGGACTATTTTCAGAACTTTAAATGATTAAAGGAGAAAAGAATCAGCAGATTGATCCATAGTGAATGTAGTCCTTTGTCATCAATACTGATTAGTACATAATAAGAAGTAAACAGATTGTGGATGATATAGTACGGAAGAAATGCGGCTTCTACCTAATCACCAATTAATACATAAATTCTATCCAGCTAAAAAATACATTAAGTACAGATTTAGGACAGATATTGAACTGAATTGTAGTTTCTGTGGTGGATGTCCAGAAACTGTTACACATCTGTTCTGGCACTGTCCTATTGCGAAAAAAGGCCTGGAATAAAATATGTGCCTTCAGAAAATATCTAAGTTTTGCTTTTAAGGAATGTTTTCTGATTTTGAATAATCTCATTATTATTATTATGGCCAAATTTCATATTCACATCTCATGAATTCAGGGCTCTCTGAAGCAAAAGGCAAGTAAAACTGTATCAGCTTGTGTTATTTTTGAAGTTTTTATATGGTCCCCCCCCCTTAGCAGGCAGCTCCTGTACGCATTGTTCTGTTACAATTGTTTTTATACTTTTGTAAGATTTGCAAATTCAAATAAATTTGATTAAAAAAAGTCAACCTAATAAGAAGTGAGAGTCCTGTTGGCCACATCTCAGTGTAACGTAGTGACTCAGAGTGACCACTGGAGGGCAGTAAGTCCTCTGCTCATTCCTCTAGGAGTCCACATCAGTCAGTCCTACAGCAGTTTAATTATTGTTATTGTTTAATTAGTAATAATATCAGTATAGGTGTCAGCATTATTATTATGTTGGTATCAGTGTGGCTAACAGCACTCATCAATACAATTCTAATAACAGACATTTACAAACACTCTTGATGAAACTGACACCCTGCAGTTCATCTTGTCACCACCGGAGGCGCCACATCATCACCACTGATGCTCCTGATTTAAAGGATCTAACAGAGGGCTGCTGTATCTGAATCAGCTGTTAGCAGATCCTCTGAAATCACTACCTACGTTTACTTAGCTCAACATGAACCTCAATATTTTAAGAAGCCCCTGCTGCCGAATGAAAAGTGAATCCACGCACGACAGAAACTTTTCATTTGACTTTTCCTGACCTGAAGAAGACGAACTGTGTTTTCTGTCCCTCGCCTGTAAGGAGGTCACGCTGCTCTGGTTTCAGTCTCGGAGGCACAGCGAGGGCTTCAGCAACCTTTCCTGCAGCCGAGACAAAAGGAAAAAGAAAAAGGCATCAAATTTCAGCAGGAAGGCAGCGATCAGCCGTCCGGAACGAACCCACTTTACCCCCCGTACGGATTTCAACAAGCCACAGGGGAACATGTGCATCAATGATTCTTCTTTTAATGCAGCTTTTTAAAAACCTTTTATTCTGAAAAACTGTACAAGTACACACCGTGTAGCATCAAACACACGTTTAAAACACTCATAAATACATACGTTCCTCTCAGAGTATATTTACATGGATGAATGAATGAGGCAGTTCTGCTCTAAACTGGGAAACATGGATTCAACAGACATGGAAATACATATTACAGTCTGGTAACGCTTCATCCTACGGGTCAGAAAAAACTTAATTTAATCACAACTGTGAGGAAGATCAGGAACTTTAAATCCACACTGAGGATTTCTGAGGCTGACGTCGTTACTGATATCTGAGAGTTTACAAAAACGGAACGTAATTCTTAAAGTTACCGTGGATTTAAGTGACTTATATCTGTTCCCATTCAAAGCAGCTGAATTCTCAGCATTTCTGACACAAATCGCAGCAGTCGGATGTTAAAGGCTAAAGAACATTTATTACCTCCACGAGTCAAACTACAACAATCTGTGCGAGACACACTTGAACTGAACAGGGATTTAAAAAAGTAAACGTGCGTTCATTATTCCTCTAATTGTAAACAGCATGATGGGTTTATGTTGCCAAATGAGTAAATGTAAAAGGTGAAATGTAAATGTTCAGCTGGCTCAAAGTGTTTATAGGTTTTTTGTGTTTGTTTTATTCCAAGCTGAAACTCTTTTAAACTTTGGTCGGACACCTGAAGACGTCACCTTCCACTCTGGCATGGACATCGTAAAGACTGAAGAATTAACAGATAATGAAATTAGTTCATTTAGTATCAGATTGTTTTTCTCCCAGGTAACGTCAAACTTCAGACCCGTAAAATAAAATGTTACCCAACTTCCTCAAAAGGCTCTAAATCCTGTTTCAGTTACAAGAAAAATTAAAGAGCTACAAGTGGAAAAGTCATTTGTGGCAGAATCAAAGACGCTGTGACCGCAGCTGAAGGATATATCGAGTGGTCCTCGAGTGTTCATGACTGAGCTCTTCTCTCGTGTCAGAGCAGCCAGACTTCCATCTGTCCTCTGAACAAATGGCTCAGTCAGATCTGAGCACAAGACAACTGTCTGTTTTTACTTCCCAGAGTCAAATGTCCGAGTAAACACACCCCTCCTCCTCCTCCGGCTCTACACCGTCGTCTCTCCCTGGTTGCCGTTAGTCAGTCTCTTATAAAACCTGCGCCACGACTGCAGCGTCTTCCCAGACCAGATCCAGAAGCCAGACGTGATCCCCACGATCATGGTCATCAGGTACTTGATCATGAACACGGTGAAGTCCGGCGTCAACGGTGCGAAGTTTCCGGACGGGCACGGCACGGCGAAGCGCTTGCACGTCTGCATGTGCCACGTCCTCTCCCACTGCGGCCGGAAAGCCTGCTCGTAGAAGTAGCAGGCGATGACGATGGTGGCGGGCACCGTGTACAGCACGCTGAACACGCCGATGCGCACCATCAGCTTCTCCAGCTTCTCCGTCTTGGTGCCGTCGTGCTTCATGATCGTGCGGATGCGGAAGAGCGAGACGAAGCCCGCCAACAGGAAGGAAGTGCCGATGAAGAGGTAGACGAACAGCGGCGCCAGGACGAAGCCCCGGAGGGCGTCCACGTTGTAGATCCCCACGTAGCAGACACCGGTGAGAAGGTCGCCGTCCACCTGCCCCATAGCCAGGATGGTGATGGTTTTAACTGCGGGCACCGCCCAGGCTGCCAGGTGGAAGTACTGCGAGTTGGCCTCAATGGCCTCGTGGCCCCACTTCATCCCGGCTGACAGAAACCAGGTGAGGGACAGGATCACCCACCAGATGGAGCTGGCCATGCCAAAGAAGTAGAGGATCATGAAGAGAATGGTGCAGCCTTCTTTTTTGGTGCCCTGGGCCACCATCTTGTAGCTGTCCGTACCGAACTTATCGATACACACTACTTTGTCCTCCAACAGGAAGCCGGCGGCGTAGGCCACCGCCACCATGAAGTAGCAGCCGGACAGGAAGATGATCGGTCTCTCTGGGTACCGAAACCGCCTCATGTCCACCAGATACGTGAGCACGGTGAAGAGGGTGCTCACACAACACAGAACGGACCAGATACCGACCCAGAGCCGGCCAAACTTTAACTCTTCCTCACGGAAATACATCAGTCCGTTGGGCTTGGAGACCTCGCAGGGCGCACCGCAGTCCTTTGCCCCCAGGAAGTGGTAGTTGAGGTAGGTGGGCACCTGGAGCTGCAGGGGGCAGGAGAAGGGCTGCGTGGTCCTGACATACGGCGGGAGGGTCACAAGCTCAGGGAGCTTGGGGGTCGGGTCGGATGTGGGGCCGTCGGCGTCAGTCGTGTTCTGACCCACGCAGATCTCTCCTGCTCCGTGGACCGGGAAGTTCTCGCAGCGCAGCCTCTCCGGCCACTGGAAGCCGAATTTATTCATGAGCGCCTCGCAGCCCTGCCGTGCCCGCTCACACAGCGACCTGCAGGGCGGTATGGCCTGCTCCAGAACCGTGCAAACGGGCGCGTACATGGAGCACAGGAAGAACTTCAGGTCCACAGAGCACTGGACTTTAACCAGCGGGTAAAACTGGTGGACCTCCAGCCCGGCGTCCTCCTGGTTGGTGTGCCCCAGCAGGTTGGGCATGATGGTCTGGTTGTAGGCGATGTCCGTGCAGAGGGGGATGGAGATGGGCTGGCAGAAGCCGTGCTCCGGTATGGAAATCCCCTTCTCATACTGAGCGGCACACGGCTGGAAGAGGAGCGCAAAGACCAGAGACAGACCCGTTATCCAAACCCACCGCCAGCTTCTCTCTACCGCCATGATGGCAAACAAACCCCTGATAAATGAGACAAAAAGTAGTTTCCACAAAGTAGAAGTCTTTCCAAAAAGCTCCAACTGTTCACCGGCGGCAGAAAAAGATAAAGAACAACTAAAGTCCAGCAGCTGAGTCAAAGCAGTGTGGGGGTCTCTACTGCTGCATTCCTTTATTAGTCCACAGCAATGTCCACAACTCTGCAAGAAAATGGTGGAAAACGGGATTTATTCACACCCCGAAACGCTCGTAGTCTGGATCCAGTCAATCAAATCAGTTCCACTTCACAGATTTAAAAACGCTCTGTCCTTCTTCTTCAGCCGCACGGTCTTTTCCTCCAGATGTCCCGGTCGGGCTGCGCCGCATGTACAGAAATCCAAGTGTGCACAAAAACTCCTCAGCACTTTCTCCTCCGTCAGAGTGTCCGCAGACGCGCGATGAAAAGTTTTCTTTGTTAATGAAACGCTCGTCTTCAGCCTGCAGCTCTCTGCGCTCCGTGGAGCTCTGTTCCCTCCGTGAGGTCTGCAGGAGCCTCATCACTCTGCCCGGGCCGGTTTCCAGGCCTCCCCCCTGCTATTCGACGCCTTCTCCTGCAGGAGGGGGCGCCTTGAAACTCGGCTGCCGTCTCTCCTCCAATCAGACGCTTTGTTTTATCGCTCTTGACGCCGCTGATTGGTCGGCGGAGGTGGAATGGGCGGGGCGCTGCGTTTGGGCCTCAGCGACAAAAGATCCTTCACATCTTTAATATTCCTGCTGAAACACCTCAGTGTGCGTTTTATATACATTTACTTTACTAAACGCACCAATACCACAAAGTACAAATACCACAAAGAGTAAAAGTGCTGCGCTCAAAGTGTTCAAACTCTGAAGCAACAAGTATTCAAAAAAACAATGTGGCCTACTGAAAGGTAAAAGTACCCTAATGTACTATACTGAACTCTTTACTACTTTAAAGTACTTTGTAGTTATATTGCAGATTAATGGAATGCATTTGTTTTCTGATTTCTACTGAGTAAAAAACCTTTTAATAAAATATTAGTACTCTTATTTAAGTTTTGCTTTAAAGTTTTTACCCCTCAAATGAACCTAAATACCAGAAAATATTTATATTCCTTCTGTTTTTACTCTAAAGAAAAACCTATGAATAAATGATGGGTTATACTTTAATCATTTTAAACTAACAGCACTCTGTGATTTTATGGAAAATCTGACTTAATGTCTTGTTTTTTGTTAAACCTTCTTTTCTGTGTCTGTTTTTACTAAAACTACCAAAGAAAAATAAGATCAAGTTTCCTCAAAATGTGTTTTGTGTAGAAAAACAGGAAGGTCAATTATCCCATTTATTACAAATGACAGTGGTAAGTTATAATTACATTTCAGTTTAACTAGATTTCTCCAGACTGTAACCTTGTGATGCAGGTACTAATGAATATCTACCAGAATAATCACAGACTGTAGAGGGCTGTGTGTTGCAGTGTGAGGGCAACACAAGAAACTCATGAAAGTCACACTATATATATATATAGTGTGTGTGTGTGTGTATAAAAAGAATGACAACATTAATTAATGACATTCAAAAACTAT